ATACCTGTATTGTCGTTATAATTTCTGACTGAATCGTATATTGATACCATGTACTGTTCAAAATCCTCAATAAATATTATTGAATATAAACCCAAGTTCTGTACTGGATCATTGTTGAATGGTCCTTCATTCTTTGCTCCTGTGTTCTTGATCCTGATACTCATTTTGACCTGACCTGTTTTTTGGATTTCCCTTATCTGCCTATATTTGCAGCCTGTCTCTGTTACCAACTTTGGCCTGGACTTTTGCCCAAAATGATGCCCATTGCCTTTGTACCTCGCTGCCTGCATGTTTCTGACCTCTGCTTGTTTCTGACTCTGATCCTGCCTACGATTCGGTGTCTTCTTGCTCAGCTGTTACTAGACCATGGTTATGACCCAACTCCACTTTAAACTGAACTTGGTGTATCCACGGTGTGCTGCCTGCTGTACACGTGCTCTTATGGTACCAGAACTCTCAAGTTCCAGCCTACAGTGTCTGCACCCTAGCACCTACTGTATGCCTTTCCATCACCCCTGCAGATCCCCTGTCAACTTGTAGGGGTTCTTAGAGGGGAACTTTGCAAGTGGCCACCCTCTGTATTGTCTTTTTGATTACTTATACATTTCATATATATGTAGTAGAATGTTAATTTTGGTCTCTGAATATTTATGTTCCACAAATATTTTTAAGGCGGTAAAACTAGGATCAGCAAACCTGCTTCCAAAACATCCAAAACTTTACCATCCTAGATCATAGCACATGATACCTTCCCACTAATCAAAGCCTGATTGTCAATAGGGATTAATTACAGTATTCAAACCATTACAGAAATGTTATTTTGCATTAATAGGTGCAGAATTGTAAAATCTTTTTATGCTCCTAGTTCATCAAGCATTATTGGGTTAGCTGGCATGTGCCTCTTTATCTCCATGACAAACATCTCTTGAGTGGTACAAAAATGGTTGCATATTTGAAATTCAATTTGGGACATAAACAGAGAGAAAATATACAGTGTGGAAATACTTGGCCTGGTTTTAGAAAACAAAAAAAATGGGCTGCAACATTTAAAAACCATGCATAAACTACACACAAGGAGACTGAGATTCTCCTTCAAGGTCACTCTAAATGAAGCTCTAAGCCTTTCCTTCACGCTAAAAAAAAAAAAAACATTCAATGTAATTTTCAAACCCCACTACTGAAACCAGTCAGTTTGATTGTAATGCTACTCGCAAAGCCTCAGAGGTATTATGGAAGCTAAAGTGTAATGTGTTCAAGCACTGATGCCAAAAAAAGCCTTTGATGTGTCCGCTACTGCATTTTATTGTACAAAGAGCTCTTTGTAATTCTTACAGGACTGGTGAAACCTGGTCCTGTGACCTGATTATTAAGTGATTCTTTGGATCATGAACAGAAACACCTTTACAAGTGGAAACATACTATGCTAGTTCTGGACTGGCCAATACATTCTCCATAAGTCCTATTGGTGCTTCCCTAGCATTGTAATAGGCTTTTAGAATATTTTGATTGACTTTATCATCTCAAAAAAATAGCTCAACAAATAAATCTATGTTGTTGAGTGTATAGTGTAGTTGACTTTACCATTATTTTTTGGTGGGGTTTTAATTAATTACAAAACAGAAGCAAAAAGAGGCACTATTTTAAAAGCCATCCAAGACAATTTTTCTTATCCAGGTCACCAATTAATCATTTAATGAATGCTATGTATTTAAAAATGATTAAGAACAACTTTTAAAATTATATTAACTTGTTAAATCCTATATAAAATGTTAGCAAGTGGGTTTAAATCTACTTTTAATACAAGAATATGGACATTTTATTTTGAAAAAACAGCATCACATGTCCTTATTTTTCTAGTTTTGGCTAGAACATGCAACTTGGACTTGGAACTCTTCACAATTGTTTCCCCATATCAGAGATTTCTAGAGATGTGCAATAGGCAAAATTTGTTTAGTTATTATTGGTTAAATTAATCATTTTGTTTCATTTGTTAGAAAGATTTGTTTTCTGAAATTGTTTTGTATATTCGGATTTGTTTTGTATATTCGGATTCGGTAGATATTTTTGAATCAATTTGAAAATAATTTTAAATTTGTAAGATGACCGTATTCATTCTATTTTATTCTATTATAATCTAATCTATTTTATTTTGTTCTATTATTTTCTATTCTTTTTTTATTCTTTATTTTATGTTTAATTCTCTTCTCTCATTTTCTTTTCTATTCTGTTCTTTTTTTTTATTCTAGTCTTGAAAATGCAACATGCTGCAGCAAAAATGTGACAAATACATATGCATTTTTGCCGTGTGTTTGCAATGGAACAGTGTGAAAGCAACCTAAGTATGAATCATGATCTTATTTCACTTTTTTACCTTACTGTATTTATTGCAGTATGTTTCTATTTCAAATTCATTTTCAAATTCATTTTTGAATTTGGATAATTTGTTATTTTGTTAAGTCATTTTGTTAGAATTTATTTCAGATTTGTTGAAATTGGAAAATTTGAAAATGTGGATACATTCAAATCTCTGAATAATGAAAATTTTGGCCAAATTTGTATTACTAACTAGACAAATCACACATTTCTAGAGATTTGTGCTTCCTGTTTTTTTGATAGTAACACAGAACACAAAGTGACATAAATTTTCAAATTCTCACCACTATTTGACAAATTGCAGACAGAACCTGGAGGAAGCAAAAAAAAAAAACCTTTCAAAATAAATTAAGAAATTGAGGAAGTGAGGAAGTTTTAAAACCCTGGTCAGGATTGTCATCTTTGTCCCTATGAGGGACACTTGTTTTCTAAAGGGTACATAGGAAGCAGTTAAAAACTGGTATCACTTCGAATTATTCTATCCAAAACTAACAAATTTTTTTGACTGGAGTTGAGATTTCAAAATGCCTAATTATGGTCTTGAATTCCAAAATAATTTGCATTTTGTTGTTGTTGACTATTGCATGATTTTCTTTTGTTGATCTTCTAAGTTTCGTTTCTTTCTTCTTGATAGTGGAAAACTAAATATATATACAATATAAACAGAATAACCAAAATTGTTAGAATTTAAAAAGCACACCTTCTGTAAATAATATATTCAAATATCAGATTTCTCTGATTTGAAATAGGTATTAATTGTATAAACCAAATTATTAGTTTGCATGCACTGATTACTTTATGTAATGCTTGAAATGATTACTCTGTGCAACATACAAACAAAGCCAGTTTTTTGTTGCCATAGAATTATGAAAATAAAGTGCTAACATCAGGGCATACCACATAAAACTAGAGAGAAAGCTATTACCATCTAAAGTATAATTATGTATAATTTGGAAAACCATTATCAAAAGTACAGTACGGTTATTGTTTGGCTTGTCACAGTATTTTAACTATTACCCTGATCTTAAAACATTGTATTTACTGTAGGCATTAAAAGGTGGCTTTATTAAAGGAAAATGCCTGCTAGCTAACAAAGCAAACCTGTTCTCTTATCAAACATCCTGTCATATTCATGGGAAAGAATGAGATACTGACATAGTATAAAAATGACTCCTATGGTAATTTAGCGTTGGACTGTGATGCATGTTATAAATAATTAAATAGTTCTGCTGCACTTGTTAGATGATCCAACATTTCATACATAGACGAGCAACTATTTTAAATCTGTAGTGCCATCCAGATAAAATTGGCAGCAGCATCCTTACCATCAGTGAGCACACCACCATAGTTGCATAATACATAGCTGATAAGGTTGAAAAAAGACACTGGTCTATCCAGTTCAGTGTGTGTGGTGTGTGTGTGTGTGTGTGTGTGTGTGTGTGTGTGTGTGTGTGTGTGTGTGTGTGCCTATGTCTCTACCAGTGGCAGACTGACCATTTGAAAACTCGGGCGCTGCCCGAGGGCCCGGGGTCAGTAGGGGGCCCCATGAGATGCCCCTGGCACCTTTTTCATAGGCTTGATTGAGTTTGGGCAAGGACACAGGAGCCCCATGATCCCCATAAGTTATCAGTCCACCCCTGGTCTCTACCAAGTTTCATATACCTGTACATATTGTACACATGTTTGTTTTTTTTAATTTATCTACACATCTTACTGACACCACTAACTGTGGAAGGGTGTTCTGTATCTTTACCACTCTATCAGCAGTTTATGATTGGACCACTTTTTGTCCAACTTTATTGTATGTTCTTATGTCTTCTTTAGAGACTGAAGAGTAAAAAGATTTCTCCCAATGATGCAGTCACCACTTAAAAATGTGTATATTGCAATCATATCCCCTCTTAAGTATCTCTTCTCCAAAGAGAATATAATTGTAGTCGTTCCTCATAACTGAGGTCCTCCAGCTCCTCTATTAGTTTCATTTCCCTTCACTTGACTCTCTCCAATTCAAGTACATCCTTTCTGAGGATTGGTGACCAAAACTGGAATGCATACTCCAAATGTGGTTTTGTAAAGTGGTAGAATCATAGTATTATCTCAGGAGTTAATACCCTTTTAATGCACGATAATAGTCTGTTGGCCTTGCTTGTTGCAGCTTGGCTTTGCATGCTATTTCTGTGATCTACAAGGACCCCCCAGATCCTTTTCCATCCTCAATTCCCCCAAAGGTTCTCCTCCTTTTGCTCAATTCCTTTACATTACTTTACTTTTTTCAATATTAAGCCTCATCTGCCATATATCTACCCACCCCTCTATTTTATCAAGGTTTTTCTTGTACAGTTAGTATATCCTGTTTCAAAGTTATTGCCCTACTTAGCTTTGTCTCATCAGCAAATAACACACTGCTCCAAAAATTCTGAAAATATGCTGTTAATCATTACTCTCTGGTTATGCTCCTGCAACTGGTTTTTTTATCCAGGTACATACAATATCATTAGAGATGAGCGAAGTATTCAAAAATTCGATTCGACTGATTCGGCGAATTCGTAGAAAAATTTCGATTCGAGTCGAATATATTCGCTGTGAATTTAACTTAAAAAAGGGTGTTTCTAGGCTTCAGAGAGACTTAATATTAGTGCTGAACACTGTACCTTTAATTTAAATGCCCTTGGAGTCTGCTGGGGAAGAGAAATAATACTGTCAGGCAGTATGACATGCAGATGAGTGCCGTCGATCTTAGAATCACCGCACACTTCACTCATTTGGCCAGTCACGGGGCCAAAACCAGAGTGTGGAGCCACAGTGTGGCGGTGGAGGCAGCAGCAATGGGAGGCCATACAGCACCCTATGACAAAAATGGAAACCACCAGCAGTGTGAGGAGACCTGAAAGTGGCACATGGCAGAGTGTGGCGATAGAGACAGCAGCAATGGGAGGCCGTACAGGGACCCATGAGACACTCTGGACCTGGCAGCAGCATGAGGAGGCGGTACAGGGGCCCATGGCAGATTACGGGCCTGGCAGCAGCATGAGGAGTCGGTACGGGGGCCCATGGCAGATTAAGGGCCTGGCAGCAGCAATGGGAGGCCGTACAGGGACCCATGACACAATCTGGACGTGGCAGCAGCATGGGGAGGCGGTACAGGGGCCCATGACAGATTACGGGCCTGGCAGCAGCATTTGGAGTCGGTACGGGGGCCCATGACACACTCTGGACCTGGCAGCAGCATGAGGAGGCGGTACAGGGGCGCATGACAGATTACGAGCCTGGCAGCAGCAACTTGGACAGGAGGACGTTCAGTTTCTGCACTGTCTGGTGCGTGCTCGCAAACTGTTGTCTCTTGGAAACGGATTCCAAGAAAGACTGCTGACGGAATCCGTGAAGAGGAGTAGCAGGAGAAAGGAGCATCTGAACGAGCGGAATATGCCAACAAGCGACAACAGGGGCCTATGGCAGATTAGGGGCCTGGCAGCAGCTATGGGAGGCCCGTAATCTGCCAGCACCCTATGTCAAAAAATTCTAACACACCAGCAGTGTGTGAGAGAGACCTGAAAGTGGCACATGGCAGAGTGTGGCGATGGAGACAGCAGCAATGGGAGGCCGTACAGGGACCCATGAGAGACTCTGGACCTGGCAGCAGCATGAGGAAGCGGTATATAGGGGCCTATGGCAGATTAGGGGCCTGGCAGCAGCTATAGGAGGCCCATAATCTGCCAGCACCCTATGTCAAAAAATTCTACACACCAGCAGTGTGTGAGGAGACCTGAAAGTGGCACATGGCAGAGTGTGGCGATGGAGACAGCAGCAATGGGAGGCCGTACAGGGACCCATGACAGACTCTGGACCTGGCAGCAGCATGAGGAGGCGGTATATAGGGGCCTATGGCAGATTAGGGGCCTGGCAGCAGCTATGGGAGGCCCGTAATCTGCCAGCACCCTATGTCAAAAAATTCTACACACCAGCAGTGAGTGAGGAGACCTGAAAGTGGCACATGGCAGAGTGTGGCGATGGAGACAGCAGCAATGGGGAGGCCGTACAGGGACCCATGACAGACTCTGGACCTGCAGCAGCAGCATGAGGAGGCGGTATATATAGGGGCCTATGGCAGATTAGGGGCCTGGCAGCAGCTATGGGAGGCCCATAATCTGCCAGCACACCCTATGTCAAAAAAAATTTAACACACCAGCAGTGTGTGAGGAGACCTGAAAAAGTGGCACATGGCAGAGTGTGGCGATGGAGACAGCAGCAATGGGGAGGCCGTACAGGGGACCCCATGAGAGACTCTGGACCTGGCAGCAGCATGAGGAGGCGGCTGGTATATAGGGGCCTATGGCAGATTAGGGGCCTGGCAGCAGCTATGGGAGGCCCATAATCTGCCAGCACCCTATGTCAAAAAATTCTACACACCAGCAGTGTGTGAGGAGACCTGAAAGTGGCACATGGCAGGAGTGGCGATGGAGACAGCAGCAATGGGATACAGGGACCCATGAGAGACTCTGGACATGGCAGCATCATGAGGAGGCGGTATATAGGGGCATATGGCAGATTAGGGCCCTGGGCAGAGTATGGGAGGCCCGTAATCTGCCAGCAGATTATGTCACCAGCAGTGTGAGGAGACCTAAAAGGCACACACCAGCAGCTACAGCAGTGAGGAAGGACCTGAGAAAGTGAGCACATGGCAGCAGTGGCATGGAGACAGGCACCTGGCATATGGGAGGCCCGTATCATGGACCCGATGAAAGACTCTGGACCTGGCCAGCAGCATGAGGAGGCGGTATAAAGGGGCCTATGGCAGATTAGGGCCTGGCAGCAGCTATGGGAGGCCCAGTAATCTGCCAGCACCCTATGTCTATGTCAAAAATTCTACACACCAGCAGTGTGAGGAGACCTGAAAGTGGCACATGGCAGGCAGAGTGTGGCGATGAGACAGCAGCAATGGGAGGCCTACAGGGACCCATGAGAGACTCTGGACCTGGCAGCAGCATGAGGAGCAGCGGTATATAGGGGCCCATGGCAGATTAGGGGCCTGGCAGCAAGCTATGGGAGGCCCGTAATCTGCCAGCACCCTATGTCAAAAAATTCTACACACCAGCAGTGTGTGAGGAGACCTGAAAGTGGCACATGGCAGAGTGTGGCGATGGAGACAGCAGCAATGGGAGGCCGTACAGGGACCCATGAGAGACTCTGGACCTGGCAGCAGCATGAGAGAGGCGGTATATAGGGGCCCTATGGCAGATTAGGGGCCTGGCAGCAGCTATGGGAGGCCCGTAATCTGCCAGCACCCCTATGTCAAAAAAATTCTACACACCAGCAGTGTGTGTGAGGAGACCTGAAAGTGGCACATGGCAGAGTGTGGCGATGGAGACAGCAGCAATGGGAGGCCGTACAGGGACCCATGACAGACTCTGGACCTGGCAGCAGCATGAGGAGGCGGTATATAGGGGCCTATGGCAGATTAGGGGCCTGGCAGCAGCTATGGGAGGCCCGTAATCTGCCAGCACCCTATGTCAAAAAAATTCTACACACCAGCAGTGCAGTGAGGAGACCTGAAAGTGGCACATGGCAGAGTGTGGCGATGGAGACAGCAGCAATGGGAGGCCGTACAGGGACCCATGACAGACTCTGGACCTGGCAGCAGCATGAGGAGGGCGGTATATAGGGGCCTATGGCAGATTAGGGGCCTGGCAGCAGCTATGGGAGGCCCCATAATCTGCCAGCACCCTATGTCAAAAAATTCTAACACACCAGCAGTGTGTGAGGAGACCTGAAAGTGGCACATGGCAGAGTGTGGCGATGGAGACAGCAGCAATGGGAGGCCGTACAGGGACCCATGACAGACTCTGGACCTGGCAGCAGCATGAGGAGGCGGTATATAGGGGGGCCCATGGCAGATTAGGGGCCTGGCAGCAGCTATGGGAGGCCCATAATCTGCCAGCACCCTATGTCAAAAAATTCTACACACCAGCAGTGTGTGAGGAGACCTGAAAGTGGCACATGGCAGAGTGTGGCGATGGAGACAGCAGCAATGGGAGGCCGTACAGGGACCCATGAGAGACTCTGGACCTGGCAGCAGCATGAGGAGGCGGGTATATAGGGGCCTATGGCAGATTAGGGGCCTGGCAGCAGCTATGGGAGGCCCGTAATCTGCCAGCACCCTATGTCAAAAAATTCTACACACACCAGCAGTGTGTGAGGAGACCTGAAAGTGGCACATGGCAGAGTGTGGCGATGGAGACAGCAGCAATGGGAGGCCGTACAGGGACCCATGAGAGACTCTGGACCTGGCAGCAGCATGAGGAGGCGGTATATAGGGGCCTATGGCAGATTAGGGGCCTGGCAGCAGCTATAGGAGGCCCGTAATCTGCCAGCACCCTATGTCAAAAAATTCAACACACCAGCAGTGTGTGAGGAGACCTGAAAGTGGCACATGGCAGAGTGTGGCGATGGAGAGACAGCAGCAATGGGAGGCCGTACAGGGACCCATGAGACAGACTCTGGACCTGGCAGCAGCATGAGGAGGCGGTATATAGGGGCCCATGGCAGATTAGGGGCCTGCAGCAGCAGCTATGGGAGGCCCGTAATCTGCCAGCACCCTATGTCAAAAAATTCTACACACCAGCAGTGTGTGAGGAGACCTGAAAGTGGCACATGGCAGAGTGTGGCGATGGAGACACAGCAGCAATGGGAGGCCGTACAGGGACCCATGACAGACTCTGGACCTGGCAGCAGCATGAGGAAGGCGGTATATAGGGGCCCATGGCAGATTAGGGGCCTGGCAGCAGCTATGGGAGCCCGTAATCTGCCAGCACCCTATGTCAAAAAATTTCTACACACCAGCAGTGTGTGAGGAGACACCTGAAAGTGGCACATGGCAGAGTGTGGCGATGGGAGACAGCAGCAATGGGAGGCCGTACAGGGACCCATGACAGACTCTGGACTGGACCTGGCAGCAGCATGAGGAGGCGGTATATAGGGGCCTATGGCAGATTAGGGGCCTGGCAGCAGCTATGGGAGGCCCGTAATCTGCCAGCACCCTATGTCAAAAAATTCTACACACCAGCAGTGTGTGAGGAGACCTCAAAGTGGCACATGTTTGAGGGCATGATTCATGGCGGATTTAGTCAGTTGTGTCAGGAACTGGTGGTTTGAAATCCAGACTAATCCACGCCTGATTCATTTTCACAAACGTGAGTCTCTCCACACTTTGGGTGGACAGTCGTGTCCTCCGCGGAGTTACAATACCTCCTGCCGCACTAAACACGCGCTCCGATGCCACGCTATGCCACCTACTGGCCGGGCATGACAGCCTTTTCAAGGGCAAATTCAGCTAGTTGGGGCCAAAGGTCAAGTTTCGTTGCCCAGTAGTCAAGGGGATTGTCTACCTCGGTTGGCAGGGTGCTGTCCAAGTAGGCCCAAGCCTGTTGTTTGAGGTCCTGCTCCAGGTCCACCTGATGCTGCTGCTGCTGCTGCGGCTGGTTAGTAGTTTCCTCACTGCGCTGGTGAAGAAAGCTACTCATCATCGACTGCAGACTGAGGCAGCTGCTGCTGGTGGAGCTGCCACTGCTCCTACCCACCCACCCCACCCCTCCCCTGCTGCCATGGCAGCGGAACGCGAGCGCACAGGGCCCACAGTGTCTGAGGAGGATGGACGTTGGCGCACAAAGGCAGAGACCAACTGACTACATAGGTGGTTTTTTATAGTACGTTATTTTGGCCTCCCTCTCAGCAGGTGTGAAAAAGGCCACCATTTTGGAACGGTAGCGAGGGTCCAACAAGGTGGACAGCCAAAAGTCATCCCTCTGTCTGATGGTTATATTATTCGGCTGTCGCTACGCAAGCAACCGAGCATGCTATGGGCCATTTGTGCCAAGGAATGCGAGGGACTCCCTGCCTCCATCCATCTCCACAGCATACTGCCGGTGCGTCTGGGTCCTCTGTCTCCTCCTCCTCCTCCTCCTCTACCAGATGCTCCTGCTCCTCCACTCCTGTCCGCTGAGTGGAAAAAACCACCCATTTCACTCAATAATTCCTGAGCACAAATGTCCTCCTCTACCTCCTCCTCCTCTTCTTCCTGTCCTGCCCCCACAGGGGTCATGTGGATGTGGCGTTGAGATCTGTGCGCCACGTCTACCGCACCCTGACCAGCCATTGTTAACAGCATTTGTTCAAGGACGTGCAACAGAGGAATGACGTCGTTCATCCCATAGTCCCTGCCGACACTCACGAATAGCGTGGCCTCCTCAAAGGGCCTG